TTCCACTTCATTGTCATGTCGTATGTCCTCATGCAAAGTCTGATGCTCAACCCGACAAGAATCTCCAAACAATGTATCGTGATTATGTTCTCTATCTTCTCCATCTACTCTTCCTAACACACAATCTACAACTAAACCGCATGTCTCAATTATATCTCTACCTTCTTTGGTATTTGCAATATCTCCACCCTTAGCTTCACCTACACACGTATTACATGCAACACATTCATCATCATCCTTTTGCTCGATATTTATCCATCCTCGTCGTCCATTTGTCTTGCTGAACAAAAAGGATTTTACACCCATATCGTCAAATATATATTCTGGTTGTTTTCCATCAACGACCATCGGTAAAAAGCTTAATTTTGGTGTCGCTAATTCCATTTTAAGCTGATCACATATAAATCGAACAAGCTCTTCATATGTCACCTGACTTGCTTTGTTACAGACACATATAGTCTTCCGATTGTCTTCCTCTCTTTTCCATTCAAATATTGCATCTTCATTCTTTTCCCAAAATAGATGTGTAACAATCTTCATAATCATCCATATTCCTGTAATCATTCATATTCCTGTAAAAACATCAACATTTATCATTTTCTCCAAAATTTCGTTCTTTACAGCAATGTGTACAATATTTTTTATTTCATAATATCAAACCCTATAACAGAAAAAACAACATAATAATACTCGAAAATCATTGGGTCTTACTTGAATCTTATATCTTCACCGAAATTTGCCTTCAATTGCATAATAAACTGAAGAAAAAAAAACTAAGATTTGGAGATGATTTACCTTTAATGGCAATGAAACAGAGAGAACACAACAGGAGAAAAGTGTCGACGGAAGAGAGAGAAGATGATGGAACTTGAAGTGTAGTGCACGTTTTTAAATTTTAATTCATTAGGGTATTTTGATTATTTTTTTATTCAGGTTATATATGTCATTTTATTTTAATTAGAGTGTATAATCTGATAGTTTTTTTATACATTTTGAGGTGTGTATCAGTGATAGAGATGTGACGCAAGAAGGGTATCTGTGAAGATTGCCCGAATGCAAACGAGTAACAAATTTATATGTTCACGGCAAAAGCTGAAACACACTTTACATGAACCCATGTTCGGTCTCTCTGTTTTTTTTTTTTTTTGGGATGATGAACACACTTACTTCTACATACCAAATTAGTATTTTCTTTTTATAGAATGATAGAAATCCGACGCAAGAGGTTAGATCTTCTGTCCGGACCGAGAAATTTCTGAACGAATCCGTCGTTGGGCGAACAGAGGATCACAGTGCACCAGGTTTAGTTCCTGCTTCTGCATTTCTCCATGGCCCTCGGAGCTGCAGAGATCCAGACAGACATTGCATTGTAAGCTCTCAAGTCAGTTCGAATCTTAACACGAAATTTTCCCGAGAAATGGACACGCGAATAAGGGTATTATAGTAATTTCATTTACATAAGATTTAGCTGATACACATTACAGCAACAGGGTATTCATTAATCTTTTGTATGCCAAGGATGAATCCAACTAAAACAAAGTTCATTCGATTTACCTTACGTTGGTGAAATATTATGGTATGCCATCCTTTTTTTTAAAAATCTTTATGAAATGAATAAAACAGTGGACATACATACATACATACACACACACATACATGCATGCATACATACATATATACATACACACACACATACATGTATACATACATACATACCAAGGCCAATGGCATCAGAACTCTTCATGATTCGGAGTCTCTTGCAAGTGTCGATGAACATCCTGAAACAAATTCGTACGGTTTGATTATGATGATGATAACACTGCTTAAGAACGTTAGTCTGATACGAGGGTAAGCTACCTCATGTCTCGGGTCACAGTTTACCGCAGCCCGTGAAAGCAAAATACGTAATCTCTAGACATGTTATTATGATTGGTCCAATCACGTACTCAAATCAAAAGAATTCCTATAGCCGAGTTTTACAAGAAAATGGCCGGATGCAGCAATGACAGAACCAAAAATGACGACTCAACTTAAGTTTGGCCTACCAGAAACCAACGGAAGTTCACAGCCATTATAACAGATTACATGGAGGCAGTGTGCTGATGCTAAGCAAAAGAACCGGAAACTCGGGTACCCAAATGATAGATCATGTTATTGCTTTCGTTTTTTTCGAATTTTCCCGTTCTCTCTAATATGCTCATCAAGAAATTTTAACTAAGGGTGAAAAAAAAAACTTACTTCCAAGGCACATCACCGACAAGCATCCAGTCTCCATCTTTATCCTCGTACGTAAGAACGTATTCCGACCCATGCAGCAGATCTTTCAGGTTGCCCTCGTTTATCGCACCCTTTCCAGATGTTTCGTGAGATCCAAATTGACCTAAAGATCATATAAAGACGAGAACAGCAGAATCCATGCATAATACAATGCAAATAAGACACATTTCCAATCCCACATGCTCATCTTAAAGTTACATTCTTGAGAGGGCATCGTCGGAAAATTACAAGACACTCACCAATTGTGAAACAGCTGAACATTTTCTCTAGACCCGACGAAAGTTCTTGGTATTTTCCGTAGTTCTTGAGGTCGGTTTTCCTCAGGTAAGGTGCTCCGTCCATGCTGACTTTGACATATAGAGCTCCGGCCCCTGATTTCCCCTCGGGCTCATCCCCGTTCTTTGAATTACCCGCAAGCGAGTTCTTCCTGAACGATCTGATCGGCGGCCATCCCACGACTTGAACCCTGCAAATACGAAACCAGACATTAAGAGGCCTTGATACTCTTGATCGGGTCTAGACAAAAAAAAAGGCTTTTTCATGCTTACTTGCTCGCAGGGGCACCGATATTGTTGTCACCGGCATTGTTATGATTAGGTCCGGTCTCATTCACGGGATGAGGCTCGTCCTGATGAATTTTCTGAGCTGCCAATGCTTTCCCTTCGCTTGGTTGCCCACCGAGGTTCTCGAGAACAGAACCTGCCTTGAGTCCCAAGTTACCGGTAGGTCTTGGCGATAACTTACCCTGCGGAAACCTATCACGTTAGATCCAACGGCATAAATCACACAGCATCAGAAAACCCTCTTTTGTTACCCTGTGGAAACAATGAAAACCTTGTCGGATACTCACCTCCATAGCATCAGAAAACCCTCTTTTGTTTCCGAAAACGACATTCTTCAGCGACGTGCAGTGATCGTCGCCCGTAGGATGCAACGGGAAGAGAGGCTTCTCGTCCAACAATGACGGACTTGGCTCTCTTTGGAGTGGCTGTGAACCCGGGAGACCGAGTCTCAGCTCGGTTTCCTTAAGACTGATCTTGATTTCATCTGTAATAATTGAAACTCCCGAGTTGTTGCTTTCGTCACCTGGAGAAGATTCAGACAGAGACATATAGTTTCTCTCTTTCAGCTCAGAGATCTTGTTATCCATGGAAGCAGAAGACACGAGCAGAGATGTTGCATTATTATTGCTCTGGGCCTTCTCCTCCTCCGCCACACCACGCAGCGGTGGAGACATCAACATTCAGACACAACCTTAACACCTGAAATTTCTGAAACTTGGTTAAAAAAAACACTTGTTTGAAAATATAACACAAAAGATTCTTTTCTACGTCTGCAGGAAAAAAAACAGTTCCCTTGTTATCCAAACAAGACAACAGAGGACTCAGAATGATTCAGAGACATTCTGTTCATCTGAGTCAGAACATGTCTTCAGGACAGATATTCAGCTCCAAAAGCCATGGAAACATGGCGAAAGCAAGGGGAAACCATGTGTTTTCGGATTGTATAACTCTTTACGATTTCACCGAATTATTCACCTTCAAGTTTGAGATTTATGCTTAACTAAGTTATTTCCAAACTTCGAGATCTTGACAGATTGTGCATTTTTTTTCCTTGTGGGTTCTACGGGACTTTCTAACCACGGGAGAAAAAAAACAGAACACAGATACTGTCTCTTTAGAGCAAATCAGTCTGTGATTTGATAAAAGAAGATTCTCGTTCAATTCTTAGAGATCATGAATTCAAACCCTACATTTTGGTTGTGAGAGTGTGAGAGTGAATGGATACCTATACAAAATGAATCTCCAAACCTTAATCTCAATTTAAATTGAAAAAAAAAAAAACACTAATGGGCAAAGAGGAAATTTAACCACCACTACACAAGAAGTACTTTTTCCCCCAAATTTTCCAGAGATTTTCCCAGGAAAACAATCAGCTGGTAACTGGTCGGACGAACGAACAAGCAGACGGAAAGTGAGAGAAACACAGACAACGACGCCGCCCGAAAAGCCAAAATCGCAAAAAAGAATACGAAAAAAGTCCAAAAAAAATGGAAAAAGAGAATGAACGGAAGAGCTCCGTGAAATTACCTCTGTAAAGCTTGGAGTGATGTAACTGAGGAAGAAGAAGAAGAAGATTGAGTTTTAGAGAGAGAGAGAGAGAGAGAGAGAGAGAGAGAGAGAGAGAGCTAAGGACCCTCCATTTGGGACAAAGTAACAAAAGCTTTGTTGTCTGTCCAATGTGAAACTCTACGCATCAAAACGACGCTTTTAAAAAAATTAATTTGTCTTTATTTATTTATTTATAGTTAAATTAATACATAAAAACGCGCGACAATAATACACGCTCCCTCTCTCTCATGTCCTCTTTTTTTTACTGTAGTTTTCTCCCTTATTTTCTCTTTCTTTCTTCCCTTTTTCTTGCACTATTACAATTTTGAGAAATTTTGTCTCGCTATTCTAAATAAATACCTAAATTTGTGAAATAAATTCAGTTTTATTAAATGTAAAAGATATTTTCCGAAATTTGAAACAATTTTTTGTATATTGAAATGTCTAAAATATCCTTCATCAAAAATTTTAAAAAAAAATCCATTGAACTAAAAGAAAAACGAAACCTATATTTAATATTCACCTCTCTACCAACAGAAAAAATAAAATAAAAATAAAAATATTTGTCTATCTTTGTACCCATCTATTATCGCCGTCACCGTGGCTGAAGCGAATTGGCTAACGTGATGTGCAGTGAAGGATGAAGATTCATGAGTACCGTTACGGAGTTAGAAAAAAAAAGATGCATAAAGATAATGAAGCTGAAAATCCAGTTTGATAAATGATTCTTCCTGTTGGAAAATTTAAGATTTTTTTTAAAGTAGAAAATGGTGAACCGTTTTAAAATTTTAAAAAAAAAATCAAAAAAATTGAAACTTTAAATATTTTTGTTTCTTTTGACAATGAGGTATCTTGTTCAATCTTAAATTTTATATTTTGAGTAATTTTATATAAAAAATATTAAATATGCTTTTAGTAATATAATTTATATTTTTATAAAAATAGAAACCCTTAATGCAAACAGGCCATATTTTGGTTATACACGATGTAGTTTTGGTCCGTGAAATGAAAATTCTAAGGTTTTAAAGTTTTTTTTTTGTTGGGTGGAGGATGCATTTTCTAAAAATCTAACCCTACTTCATAAATTTTCCATTACAAAAAAAAAATTTCTACAAATTCCACCCTTTTTTAAAATTTAAGTTCTTTTTACAGAATAATATCAAGTGCTTTTTCGTCATGTTCTATCTTTTTTGGTAGATGGTATTCTGTTTTTTCTCCGGTTGGAAAAATTTTGGAGAAAATTTAAAATTAGTGTAAACAATTATGGTTTTTTTTATTTCGAATTTTAGGTACAACATTTATGGTATTTAAGTTGCATCTACAAACCCTAATGCTGCGGAAAACGTTTTCTCAATATTCAATTTATTATTTATTTTCCAAATTTTATTGTTTTATGCAATATATTTTTTAGGTGTATAGACAACAAATATGGTGTTTTAATTGCATCTAAAAACTCGGGATTCTGCGGAGAACGTTTTCTGAGTATTCAATTTATTTCTCTTTATTTTGCAAATTTTATTGTTTTACGCAACATATTTTTTAGGCGTAAAGATCATATGAAATCTATCATAGAATAGAAAATTGTAAATATTCTCTATTAATTATTTTAGAATAAATTCTAAGAGACTATATATTAAAGTAAATATTTCAAGATTAATGATCAAACAATTGTAAATACATTTAGATAACCATAGTCTTCATCTTTATAATATATATATATATTAGTAAATGCCGAATTGAGCATGAAAGGTCAATTTTAATTTTTTTTCCCTTCACCATCATTATTCTACATAAAATACTCATCATGTCATATTCGTAATTATACATTTATCTTTTTAAGACCACTCTTGGATTTTGGGAGGATTCGTGATAAGGTTGGGCCTTGACCGTTGATTAAGGCATAATTACTAGAATTTAATTAACTTTATTTATGGATTAAATACAATTATATGTATATATATATATAAATATAAAGGTGAAATGAAAGTGGAAAGTAAAGGGGAAAACAATGGTATCGGATTCATTAAATGTATTGGATATATAATCATAGTGTAGGCCGTTGTAAGGTACAAGAAAGTTAGACAAATTTCTATGAAAAGATTCACGCTCTCCCCCTCTCTTTCATCTACAATAAAAATAAAATACGAAATTTAATATTTGTTTATAATAGTTATTTCCTTTTTACACGAAATGAAAATTATGTTGAATAAAATAAATAGTATTTCTTGAATTTATTTACGGAAAAAAATGTATACACAGCATACGTAACCACATGTTCATGTTTTCACATCAAATATGTGCACTATGAATTATATTTTTTTTTTATTATAAACTATATTTATATGTAGCTAATATAACAAATCCATAGTTATTCGAGTTATTTTCCGGATTGATCATCCATTACGAAGTATCAAGTATTCAATGAATTTTATTTGTGATTAAAGAAAATACGGTTTCATCTCATTGCAGTCTAATTATATAATATTATAATTTATTTTATTTTATTTTTATTATTATATAAAGAATTCTATTAGAACATAAATTATACTAGATTTTCATATATATTCGTTGTATGATCAATAAAATACTAACAACATAATTTTATAATTTGGTATATTATCAAAGATTAGTTTATTATAGAATTTAAAGATTAGTTTCCGTGTGATGCAAAAGCCTCTGATTTAAATTAATATGTAATTATAATCTTTTGCCTACTTATTTTGTATTATTGGCTTCACAGAAATTGTGAACATTTTATATTAAAATATATTAGAATTCCATAAAAAAACACACACACACAATTACATGAACCTATATCGAAATAAAAATTACATAAAGCATAGTGCATGGCGATTTAACATGAAATATCATTTCCGACGAAAGCACGGGATTTAAAGGAGAGTTATAAAATGTCAAATACTCACACGTATTTTATTTCGTATCGATGGGATTTAATATATTGCTATATATAATTACTAAATGATAATATAAATAAATAAATAATTTCGAAAACGCGGCACTAATGATTATGATTATGTGCGTGAGGGCATATAACACATGCTTTGTCTCCTCTCCGCATTTTGGAAGTCTATTCCATTAAACTCTCCCAAGTGGGCAAACTTTTGTATTTTTCCTCATACTTCTCTTCCACCAAACCACTCAAACCACATTATTACAAAAAAAAAAAGGACATTATACAATTGTAATTTGGTTAATAACCGAATAATCAAACCGATCCGAAGTGAAGAACGTATAACCACAATCAAACCGAATTAGATATAAAAATGAATGGTTATAATTTCTCTAAAATCGAAAAAATCGAACCGAATAAAAAAATAACAAAAAAACTGTATATTTCTTTAAGAAAATAAGTATTTTTTATCATAATCGAATCAAATTCAATATAAAAACAGAATGATTATAGTTTTTTAAAAACCGAAATAATCGAATCCGAATATAATAGAACCGAACCCGAATCGAAACCCGATTAAGCCACCCCTATGTATGACTACCTATGTGTGTATATATTTATGTGTGCATACACATAAGGCCATGTTACAGCTCCATGCAAGGTTAAAAAAATATTTTTTTGTTAAACATGAACCTATATAAGATAGTAAACCTCGTTTAAAAAATTTGGTATTAAATGATAAATAAAAACATCTTACCTAATAACCAATAAAATGTTCAATTAATAAATACTGTATCAAATTACAACAAAAATTACTATGCATAGTAAAAAGATGATATAGCCATTCTGCGACATTTGTTATCAACACACGTTTTGTGTTGCAAGATGAAAAAGCCAATGTCATACATCTTTTTTAGTTCCTACTTATATATATACACATGCACGCACATATATGTATATATACGTATATCGGATCAGAAAAATTTATAAGAGGGGTGAACTTGATTTTAATATAAGGGCATTTAAAATTTTATTTAAAAAATATAAAGAAGATTAAAATTTTAATTAAAGCAATAGGGGCAAATGACCCATTATAATACATATGGGTTTAATGACATAAAACCTTCAATCATATTCGAATCTAGGGTTACATCATAGTTCGATCGATTTTAATGTGAGGAATCTTGCTTTGTCAACTGAAAGTGATTCAAGTAAGAATTAGGGTTTTAGAGAGAACAATAACATGAAATTCTTGCATTGAATCATATTCCAATCTCGAGTTATATCTTATAGTTGGATCAATTATAATTATAGGGTGGCAAATCTTGCCTTCGTCAACCGAGTGTGAACTCAACAAAACCAAACTCACAAACATCAATTGATATTTTGTCATGCCGCTTTTTACGTAATAAAATTGCTAAAAGAAATCATATGTGAACATAAATAACGTCAAGTGAAACTTGGAGCCAAAAGAAGTGAGCATGACGGAAGACGATAATTATGTTTTGTCATCGAAACTGTCTAAGCTTCCAACCAAAGTACTCTACATTTGTAGATTGAGAAAATTAAGAATATATATACATACATTATATATATATATTTAATTACATCTTCCTATTGGATTTGGATTTATTTAATAGAATCAAAACGGATTCACCCTGTAAAATGCCCGGTCTATGAAAGGTTCTAGAAATCTTGACGAAAAAACTGTACATAATATTCTTGATTGATTGAAAAATCAAACCATAATAAAATCTGTTGAAAATCTATTGATTATGGTAAGTATCAATCAGAATAATATCAAATTGGAATATGATTGATTCTAACATTAATATGAGATGTTATTTCTTCCACTAGTATAAAATATAAAATAGAGGTCTTGGTTAGATCATTTGACATACCACAAGAAAACAAAACAAAACATTTTTAAGAGAAAAAGAACATTCACAACTCTACTCATATCTCTCTTTGAGTTCGTTTGGTATTTGGGAAACCTTCTCCCGAATATATGATCGTTGTATCCTGGGAGTTCACCATCTTCTAATAACCTCGAAACTTTAGAGGTGGCACGGAAATCGAATTAAAAAAAAACAGCATTTCACATGCCTCGACAATAATCTTTTATTATAGATATTTCTCTTAACCGTTTGAATTGTCGGAGTTTTGTCGTCGTAAACAACCGCCGTTGCCAACACTTCCTACATTTGATATCTATACCATGCCAT